TGGCTGTCAGTAACCAACCTGCAGATAAGTAGAAATAAATGTAGCAGCCTCAGAAAAGCCCTTCTGCACACCATGCAACGCCTTGCACACACTAACTCAACTGCAGACGACTGCAATCGTACACCCGATGGTCACGTATGGGGGCTTATATTACTAAAAAATTTAGTGCAAAAGGTGGTATCATAAGCCTGCAACCTGCTTGCGCAGTCTCATCGCTGAAATCACTGTCCAGGCTGCTGGTGAAGGGCTCCGGACCGATTCAGGCTCGTGGTGCTAGGGCTACAACTCGGACAGTATTAAACAATTTTTAAAGATTCATTATAACCTATGGTGACGGAATGCTGCACACAATGCCGAGCACGAAACAAATGCAGCCGCCTGTGGGGGGGCATGCAGTTAGTGGGGAGAAAAGTGCAATTGGGAGTCATGAGGACCCCAGTGTGCATGCCTGTGTCAGAGCAATCATAAAACGTCTGGAATTCTAAAAATATAGCTAAATTCCAAAAAAGTAGCTAACACAAGACTGACCCTCTGCTCTAGATGCACCGGACGGAGCTGGGCCCAACTAACCCCCTCCTTTCGAGAAGCGTGTACGAAATAATCCTCTCACATGTGTGCAACTAGAGATGGAATAAAATGGGAGTGGATGTCCAGAAACTGCAACTATCGCATTAATACAATAAAATAATAATATAAGAGGCTCCCAACTGCGGGGTGTTGTCAGTTCAGCAGCAGCAGTAGCAGCAGCGGGCTGCTGCGTGCAGCGGCGGCAGCAGCAGCAGTGTGCGGATGAAGCGCCGTGCCGGCAGGCGGGTTGCTTGCTCACAGTTAAGCACTTTTGAGCCTGTAGAGTGACCTCTGACGGCAAATTTTATGTGCCTGAGCTCTTATTCTGGTGTCTCTGCCTGAAAATGATTGAGGACATCAAGACTCTTCGCGAGGAGCATGTGTACCGCGCCAAGCTCGCTGAGCAGGCGGAGCGCTATGACGGTAGGTCCCTGTTTCTGCAATTACACCGCAATGCGGGACATCGGGCACTGCATATTCCGTTATTTCATTCGTCTCCCTCGTTGAGATGGCACGTGGCTCAGGAATGCCTCCCCAGTGACGCTTTCGCGGGATGGTAGGGTATGGGTCGCAGGTGCGGCCAGCTGTAGGCGTTTTCCCAGGACGAGCTGTGCAGCTGAGGGCTCATTCGTCTTTTTTTAGAGGAGGATATTGCTTCGGCAGTAGAGATAGAGCCACTTCCGTCTCATCTAGCCGCTTGTGGACGAAAGGGGATGCGTAGCTGACCTGGCGCCGCGGCTGCTTCAGCATATTTGGAGGCCTTGGACGCTTCTCTGGTCGCAACTAGCAGATGCAAAAGCTCCACTTTGTGCACATTAGCGATGTTTTCTTCATCGTGCTTTCCGCGCTGCCGATGTTTCGAGCGCTTGCCAACTGGCTGTGCCGCGGCACCTGGGGCAGTTATTCGTAGGCGGGCTGGTGTAGCCTTTCTGCGTATTTGTCTTCGTAACGAACATGTCTGATGTGCGTCGTGTCGGGAGGGGCGTCTACGTTTTCCTAAAGAGGAGCTGAGCGCCTCAGGTGGCGAGGCCGGGGCGTGTAATGTCATGACATACCAAGATCCCTGCAGTCTGTTGATGCTTGTTTCCGCCTGTCGTTGGTCCATCGGAATGTGGATGTTTCGAGTGGGGCTGCCACCTCTGTGCGGTTTAAGCCGCTCAGTGTGGACGGAGTTTGTTGTTTTGCGGTGTTGCGCATGCTGCAGAGATGGCCGAGGCCATGAAGAACTTGGTGGAGAACTGTCTCGATCAGAACAGCTCCACCCCAGGTGGCAAGGGAGACGAGTTGACTGTGGAGGAGAGGAACTTGCTTAGCGTTGCCTACAAGAACGCCGTGGGAGCGCGCCGTGCTAGCTGGCGCATTATTTCTTCTGTCGAGCAGAAGGAAGCGAACAGGAACCACATGACGAACAAAGCACTTGCAGCTAGCTACAGACAGAAGGTTGAAAATGAGCTCAACAAAATATGCCAAGAAATCCTTACCCTGCTCACTGACAAGCTGCTGCCCCGCACCACGGTTCGTCCCTTGCCCACTGGCCGTAGGAAAGGAATGTTTATTTTGCATTCCGTGCATTCTGCTTGTTAATTATATTGGATTGTTTTGAGTGAGACTGGGGGTGTATCTAATCCCATTCGCTACCACAACTTGGATTTCAATTTGCACCTGCATCGCCCTCAGCGTGAACCTCCTGATGCGACTTTTTTGTTTTGCTTTGGTCGGGTCCTTTTCAGGATTCTGAGAGCCGTGTTTTCTACTTTAAGATGAAGGGGGACTACTACCGGTACATTTCTGAGTTCAGCAACGAAGAAGGGAAGAAGGCATCAGCAGAACAGGCCGAAGAGTCGTACAAGCGTGCGACGGACACCGCTGAAGCAGAGCTCCCGTCTACGCACCCAATCCGTTTGGGTCTGGCCCTGAACTACTCCGTGTTCTACTATGAAATTCTCAATCAGCCGCAGAAGGCTTGTGAAATGGCCAAGCTGGCTTTTGATGATGCAATAACCGAATTCGACAGCGTAGGTCTAGCAGTCTTTAGAATTCATGTTTTTCCAAATTTAGCGCGTGAACCAGCGCTGGGTTCATTCGCTGCTTTCGATCTATCGCGTCCTTGTGTTTGGTCTGGTTTGGGCTTCCACAGGTTTCCGAGGAGTCTTACAAGGATTCCACTTTGATCATGCAGCTGTTGCGCGACAACCTGACGCTCTGGACCAGTGACTTGCAGACGCAGGAGCAGCAGCAGCAGCCCGTGGGCGAAGGCGCCGAGGCGCCCAAGGTGGAAGCTACTACTGAGCAGCAGTAGGCTCACCAAGTCACAGTGTTGAGCACAAGGACGCCGACACGGTGGCGTTTATTATCAGCTTGTTATGGTGGACGGCTTTCTCGTATTTAATCCCAGCATGATGTACATTTTGTGGAAAGGGGGGTGGCTCGCACAGCATGCATTTACATACCAGATGGGCGTGGATATTACACTTCGAGATAACAACGATTTGCCTGCGCGCTGCGGGCCCGAGATATTTACCGGCGTTGCATCGTTGTTTGGTGCACAGTATAAGTTATTAGCCGGCCAGAGACGCATCCCTGAACCGTTTGCTTCCGTCGCTCCACGACTACACCCAGCAGCACTTGCTTGTATATGGCGTTTAGCGCCTTTGCCACGTTGACTAGCGTCAGATTGCTAGTGCTCCCAGATCAAGCTTGCCGACGAGACGGAAGAGAAGGGGCGATCTGAGGAGGGGCGTGGTATACGATTGTGCACAAGCCTGCAAAGTAATGAGCAGTAAGCTTTGAACGGTAACGCGCTGCCGAGTTGCTCCAGTGGGGCTCCTTTCATTTGGCTGCAGAGGGGCTTCTGCGCGAGCGACAGTCTTGTAAGCTGAGGCACATCTGTTGAGGTGAAGGGGCGCTCGCAGGCGTCCTCTCCTTTTTCTGATTGTGCTAGGCAGCGAACTCGAATCAGAGTGCGTCCTGCAGACGTACAGGCGCCGATTACCAAATGATCGCAGGCGATGTCGTTGTCACCGTTAGGAGAGGTCTGCAGTATAGGGAGTAGGAAGATGCGTAGTAGTGCAGTTCAATACAGCGCGCAGGAGGCAAATAAAAAGGATTGCTACTTGGCGGGTTCGAACAAGTGAAGTGGGAGGCAATTGTTCTGTGTTCACAAACAGAAGTTCCAATGTTACAGTGGATTTAGCTGTATCTTTTTAGCTTTATTAGGTCAGGCATGCAGATGCTGGTAAAGATAGAGCGTATGCATGTTCCATAGAAAGTACTTCTCCCACGTTTTAACTGCATTCGAAGTATGCAGGTAAACAGTTCGTGAATGTTCTGTGGGCTTGCTGTAGGATGTCAATTTTTCAATAGAAATTTCGTCGGTAGAGGCATTCCGGTAGCACTGTGCTCCTGGGAAAATAATAATTTGGCATGAGGAGGGTTTAACATGAGGTGCTTCTGCACTATGCATACATCAGTCCCGGAACATTTCTTTTATTAGGTGCATCGCGATTAGTCCCAAGCAATAGACCGTCCCAGTGCAGTGCTGGTGCCGTTAGGCGCTGCTTTTTTCTCGATCGAATACATGCTCAAGCAACAGAACCCGAAAGCATGGAAGCACAAATTAGTCCGAGGCAACATTGGCCACTTCACAGCGACCAGCCTCAAACTGAACTTCTTCCATGTATTAAGCAACAGCGATTTTGTTTCGTAGGTTTCTTCCCTCCCGGCTACTGCATTCCAATGCTACTCTAGCTTTCGTTCCTGCATACTTGAGAACAATAACGGAACTGGCAACGCCTTTACGCGTGTACGGAAAAGCTCAATCCAGATATTGTTCAGCTTGCCCTGCAGCGCCACTGCACTACACAAGCTAGCTGCCATTCATTCCTTGCACTTTGCTGAGCCAGTCCTGGAGCAGTGCAGAAACTCGCCGTTTCCCACAATGAACATGAAGTGATGACACTAGTGGATAGCAAGCACCGGCGTGGCAAGCACATGTGCGTAACTAGTGAGGCTTGTGAAGGCGCGAACCAAAAAGGTTTTCGGTGCTGGAATATCCAGACTGATGAAGGAAGTGGAAGGCGCCATATAACCACTTACTAGGTCACTTATGTTTATTGGGCACAGAGTCAGTGACCAAAGCAAGGCATGCTGTGCAGCAAAAGCGGGTCTTTCTGGATTAAGGAATTCCTGTGCAGCTAACTTCCATCAGATGTAATGCAACACAAACGCCCATTCGCTCACAGCCCTTTTCGCCAGTCCAGTGAATCACCCCTCGCACAGCGGGATGCATTCAAATGGGATGAACAAGAATAGTGTCGGTAATGTTCGTTGCACAGATTCCCCGGCAAAACACAGAAAATCACAGTTGTTCCTTTCATCTTCACGAGATGCCATGTGGGCATGCGAATAATAGAGGTTTCCTGTTTTCAGATCTGTCAAGCGTAATAGCCTTGTGTAGCACCGTAGTTGTAACCTTCCCCGATATCTGCAACATAATCAAACGCAACCATCGTCGCAGTCAAAGTACTTCATCACAATTTTCTTATAATTGGCTGGCAGTATTATTACTAAACAAAAAATACAAAGACTGGTACTTCAAAATTGACAACTTTATCTCATAATCATAGTACATCTTTTGCATTGACGTCTTGCATGCCATTTCCATGTATTCATGGATGGATTGCCTTAGCACTGCTGAGTTTCTTCGTTGGGTGTTAGCGATGCTTTTCCACATTCCAAACTGCACACGCACCTTGTTCAGCGAGTAGGTCTTCCTCGTTCTCCTCGCTTTTCCTTATAAACCGTTTGTACAAACACCCTGAAAACACCGTACAATGCACGTATGTTTAAGCTAAAGCGAATAAAATAAATATTGCATTCGGTGCTGTGCCCATCACAAACAGGCCTCCACCTCATCAACCGCAGCCACTAGGCTATCGTGTCGCACGCTGAGGCTGCAATCTGTATTCCCCCCAAAGGAAGAAGGAAGGAAAAGGGATGATGACGGGAAGACGTAAAGGGTATGATCAGTGGAAACGCACACAAAGTGCCTCCAGATATCAGTATGAGCACAATGGTGGACAAGACAACGACCGCCCAAATCCAAGAAGGCGTATCGCTTGTTGAACCATTGGTAAGAAAGACGGCGAGTTGTTCAGAAGACGCTTTGTCTGCGCACTCCCATATTCCTGCCTGGGTTGTGCTCTTTGTGCAGTATTTGTAATTGCCGCAAGTCAGACCCAATGCCTTGCAAGCAAGATCCTCGTTCCCCGCCAGTGCTGCAGGTCCACCAGAACGGTCGACAGCAGTGGAATGAAATGCATGCAACAGCCAGCATCGTTTTCCTATGCGCTTCCTCCTCACCCCCCATCTTCGTGCAGATTTAAGGCACCTACTGAATGCATGCATGTATGCATGCATGTAAATAGTGCACTATATGCATTGACTGCACGCACACATACATCTTGGGTATTCATGCTTACGCTCGCATGTGTTGACTGTTCCAACTCCGCGGAACCCCTGTATGCATTCACACTTGAACGAACCGGGCACCAACGAACAAGCGGCGAAGACGGTATCGCAGTCATTCTTCCCCGTGCCGCAGAAGTCCTCAGTCACGCAGCCACTTCCAGAAGAGTCGGGTTCAAACCCCGGTCCGCATTCGCATTTATATGAACCCGCTAGGTTTGTGCAGATGGAATTCGATGGGCAAATGGCTGGGTTCTCGTTGCACTCATTGATGTCTGCCGCACCGACACAAGAACATGCGTACAAGAGGTGCAGAGCTGTGTGTACTGTAAATGAACGACTCCATACACTCACACAGCAGGAAATACCAGTCAAACGAAACCCTGAAATACTTCCGTACACTCAAACACACAAAAAACCACCGTATTGTAGTGCATTCTCGCTCTTCCGTTCCTAGGCGCTTTGTTTAGAGCTAACCTCTGCATGCAACTCCGGGTTTGTCTCCGTTGCCCGTCCAGCCTTTGTGGCATTTGCACAGCTGCTCGGCTCCATCGAGGTTGATGCAGTCGCTATTTTCATCACAGTTTCCCCTGTTTGTTGCGCATTCGTTTATATCTACGGACAAAAAAACACTTCCAAAGTGCTTTGGGTACTGGTAAAACTCATCCTACCCGGGTTTACGTACGGACACGGCAGCTGATTCAAAGGCTCTGAGTGTCACCACCAACACCTATTGACACTGCAGCGGCTGCATGCAATCAAATTCCAAGCGAGATGAGAGTAATCGGCTGTAAAGAGCCAGCTAGGCGGCAAGAAGATGATACTGTTATTCCTCCGTTTCGGAAGCGGCAGGTGCAGTTTGCTATGTATGTGCAGGAGACAAGAACTGCTCTGGCAGTAAGAGAAACACGAACCGGAGACAGAGCGAGCATAGATACAAAACGGAGAAGGGACATACACAAAAAGAGACAGCCTCACCAACGCATATTCCATCTTTTTCGTTGCGGTAGGGGCCACACCCACAAGTAAAACTACCAGGAGTGTTCACACAGTCCCCCCCCTTCTGCTTGCAGTTGTCCAGGCCTTGAGCGCACTCGTCTATATCTGCACCATAAACACAAACCCAAGGCTTCACTACTAAATAAAAAACACAAACAATTGTATTTACACCTATATGTATGAATATCACATACAATAGGAATGCGTACTGGAGCCTCCACAAGTTGATTGCAAAATATGTAATTATTCTTGCATCAATAGGCATATATACTCATATAGATCATAAATAACAAGTGCAGCAACAGGCACAGAAGGAAGTAAGCTCTCAGATGTACAGCAAAGGCTGCGTATGCAGAGCTTTCCTCAGTCGTGTCCCCTTTCATTTGCGTGTAACTAGTGAATGCATCCCTCATCAATTAATAGTAGTAATTGTAACAATGCAACACGTAATAATTCAAGTGCCGCTTACCAACACACGTAGAGCTCTGGTTTATACCCTGAGGGCTGAAGCCCTTCTGGCAAGTACACCAGAACCCGTCGCCTGATTGACAAGACTCGGCGTGTTCAACTCTTTCGCAGTGTGCATATCCTCCGGAGTCGCACGCTGCAGACGAAGCCACAGCCACAGCCACATATGCATGCATGAATACACGCGGTATTAATTGGAGAGAAAAAGATGAGAAAAAATGAAGGATATATTTAACTTATGTCTGTCGCTCCCTCCTACCGAACGGGCCTTCCGTACTCGTGCCTCAGGCACCACTAACATCAGGCTTCTTATCTGCATGCAGCTGCAGCCAGGTCTTCCTCTCAGCTTTTAAACTGTACTTTAAAGCTCACGAGTGCTGCTTTTGCCTCCCATGGCTCCCAGGCGCCGCAGGGCAAGGTCACCGGGCAGCGCCTGTGGCCTGGCGAGAGGTGTTTGCGGCCAGTTGAGGAGCCTCCACGAGTTCCTGACTGCAGCTGCGCAGACAATAAGGGGTGTTCATGGAAAAATGAAGAAAAAAGAAGAACCAACGGATACCTTAGAGCCGCGCAGCAGCCAGCACGCAGCATCGAAGGGTGGGTGGGCGGGCGGTAGATCGCTGCGCGTACGCAGCTGGGGTGTACAGACAGTGCAGCAGTTTCCTCTAAAATACTCAAGCACACCATGAAAATACAACAGGGAAGCAAAAGAAAGACGGAAAACCCCTTTTCAACGGCAATCACAAACGCCCGCTGCAGCACGCTACCTGCCAGTCCTTGAATAGCTACATCAAGATGGCTCGGCAGCCTGCAACAATCAATGCATGCCCCTCATATGTTTTTTTTCGCCCTTTATTTGCTTTATTATTTTCACTGGAATGTAGTAAACTTCAATTTTTCTTATTCTTCAACATGTTTCTAAAGGTTTAAGGTGGGGTAGAGGGGGGTCGCAGCAGCCACCCAGTGGTCTACAGCTCCGCTTACGTGTCTGTCTGACTGTATGCGGGACTTGCTGCTTTGATTATTTATTTGTAATTCATTTTTAATTTAATTATTTAATTTATAAAGAAAAGCTCGTGCAGTGCCCCGCTGCGCAGCAGGCAGCGGGAGCTCTAGATACTGCGTATCATCCCGATTCAAGTCTAAGCAAGGGGTAAGTGAGTTATTTACATCTATATATGAATAAATAAGTGTAGACTCAACGCTTTATTATATTCATTTCACGAGCATATATGTGTTTTCGACTCTGTATTCTCTAGATCTATACATGCATATAATATGCCATGATGTAATGATCATATATAAACATGGCAGACACTGCATCATCATATGCATTAATATCCATAATATTGCATTCACCCACCATATATATATATATATATATGACAGTCTAGCATTAAATATATGTAAATAAATATATCTGTATATATATATATATATGTATATTTACTATGGTATTATCATCACATGACTGTATTGTCATAATTATTCATATAAAGATGGGAGTATGGGATGATTTCTGTATCACATACATTATATATATATGCATATGCCATTATACCCACATATATATTTTAAGTACATATATATTGTCGATAGATGCCAATTCTTTGTTCTCTTGGACTTCTTCTGGGGGAGAGAAAGACGCTCGCTGCAGGGGGCTCACCTAAAGTTTTTTTGTTGCTGCTGTAAGAAATGCATAGTTCAATGCAACTCTTAGGATGAAGGAGGAGAAGCAGCATATTTGTTTGTCCTTAATTTACTACAGGCCGCTCAACATAGCAGGACAAATGTATATTACTGAGGCACACATCTTGATACGAAACGAGGGAGTTAGAACAACAACAATAGTAATAATGATAATGATAATAATAATAAATAATAGTAATAAGAATAAACAGTAGGTACTGAGACGGAACACAAACATCACAGCAAATAACATACACAGGGCAAGAAAGGGCAGTACGTACACCTGAAACGAAGGCGTCCTGTTGTCTGTATTGCGCATGCATAAAGCATGTGCACATACATGCATTAACAGAAATCTAGCAGACATAAATGCAAAGCCATCACAATCTGTACAGCATTATCTACGAAGAGGAGATGCCATAGAAAACAAGGCCTGCATAGCCGGTGTGTTGTACTCTCTTGCAAGCATGGCATGCATGCCATAATACGCGTGCATGCTTGCATGCATACATGCATGCATGCATGCCATGATACGCATGCATGCATCCTATGATATGCATACATGCATGCATGCATGCAATGATACGGACGCATGCAAACATGCGGCGTAGGGTTCATGCATGCATGTACAGTTGAAGTCGTTGCATGCAACTGCCTTAAAACGTGGAGCGAGGAGAGGCATAGAGGCACTTCGCGTTGTCTCCTTCGTGCTGTCTCTGCTGACAAGAGAGACAGCACAGCCCCAGTGTGGCGGCTGCTCTGCTGCTTCCTTATCAAAGGCGAGAAGCCCCTGCTGCCCTAAACCTTCGGCTCCGGCTGTATGCATCAAGGCACCCATGATTCTGCTACATGCAGAACCATACATGCATGCACGCATGCATGCATGCAGTTGGCGTTTCTGGGGCTTTCTCTTGTGTTCTGTTTATTAGCGAGAAGAAAGCTGGCCTGAAGTCTGATGCTAGCTGCTGCGGCTTATATACTCGCAGGGGCTGCAGCCGTGCAGCAGCAGATTTAGAGTTTCAGGTGTACGGACAGCTGCCGGCAGAGAATGTACTCCCACTCAGGCAAAAAACAGAAATGCAAAGGGAGACAACTGTCTCCTCTTCCCCATGTGAGGAACGAAATAGACAACGGGGGCTGCTAACCTTTCTGCTGCTTGCGCTGCCGTTGCCGCGGCTGCTGCTGCTGCTGCTGCTGCTGCTGCAGTTCTTGCTGCTGCTGCTGCTGCTGTTGCTGCTGGTCGGATTTGGTGTTTTGCTGGCTTCGTGCTGCACCATCGTCTTCATATTGATCAGGGAGATAAACACTACCGAAGAAGCACCGCGTTAGGTAGAGGCCTTCCAGCTGCTGCTGCAGCTGCAGCGCCTCTTCACAGACAGCAGCGGCGACGTTCTCCTGTTGCGAGTTTTGATGCCCGCCTTTCTGCTGCTGCTGCTGGTAGTCTTGCTGCTGTTTGTCTCCTGCCCTTGTGGGGTAATCTTCTGGTTCTGTCTGCAACCCTTCTTCCTGGCCTTGCGCAGCAAATTCATTTGCTGCTGCCTCCGCGTCTGCTGCGCTGCGCAGCACCAATTCCTCTGTAGAGATGCCGCAACCCGGCACTCTAACAAGCCCTAAATGCCCTAGTGTACAGACTGCAACGCCGAAACGCAAGAAGAGGTGCTGCAGTAGCGACGGCTTTTGGTTGCTTAGGCAAGAAAGAGATGCTTCAGCCTCTCGCTGCAGCGCATGCAAACCCTCTCTTTCTGCTGTCTCCTTTTCTGCTCTCTTCTTCTCCCCTGTCTCCTCTTGGCCTATCTCATTTTCTATTGTCTCCTTTGCGGCTGCTGCGGCTCTCTTAGAGGCTTTTGCAGGCCGGTGGGGGGCTCCGGAGGATACAGAGGCATGCTTCTGCACCTGCTGCTGCTGCTTCTGCTGCTGCTTGCGGGTACGCAGTTGCTGCTGCGTATACACCTCAACTACGTCGGCGCAGAAGTAACAAAACAGAGACCAAAGGGAAATGCGGCGGCTTCCGAAGGAAATGCGGCGGTAGACAAGGCTCGTATCATCAGCAGCAACAGCAGCAACAGTCTCTCCTGCTGCTGCTGCTGCTGCTGCTGCTGCTTGCTGATGATATTCCAGGGCGCTGCCGCTGAGGCAGGCCAGCTCCTGCAAAACTTCGATAGGCCGCAGCGGCAGCAACCTGGCTACGGTATCTGCTGCTGCTGCTTCTGCGCGGTGTATGGGGGCTTTAGGTGCTGCTAGTGCTGCAGCAAAGTACTGCGGCTGCTCTGCTGCAGCAGCAGACAAGGACCATACACCTAACTCGCACCCTAAAGGATGCCACTGCAGCAGTGGGAGCACACAGTACATCAAACACTCCCTCGCCCACCGTTGAAATTGGTTGCAGAAGGTGCTGTCAATGCTGCTGCTGCTGCTGTTGCTGCTGCTGCTGCTGCTGCCAAAGCCTCCGGAGACCGAAAAAGGCGCTGTGCTGGCGCGCCTCGCAAGCCCAGAGACAAACGCAGGGGCAGCCTGCTGCTGTCCCCGCTGCTGCTGCTGCTGTTGTTGCTGCTGTTGTTGTTGCTGCTGTTGCTGGTGGCAAGTAAGTTGCAGCTTCTCCATGAGTTGGTTCATCTTCTTGAGGAGCTCGGCAGCTTTGCCGATTTCTCCTGTCCGTTGCTGCTGCTGCTGCTGCTGCTGCTGCTGCTGCATGCGGGTCTCGAGCTGCAGCAGCAGGGCCCACTCTCTCGCTGTTTGGCGGCTGAACTGCTGCAGCGCGAGCAGCAGCGCATGCGGCACTGCAGCAACTTGACGCGTTGTCGCAGCAGCATTGAGTGCTTCTGCTACCAACGTAGACACCAAACTCCCCACAGAAACGCAGGCCCCAGCGATCCGCTGCAGCTCCTCGCAGACTGCGGCAACACAGCAGCAGCAGCAGCAGCACGATAGCAGAAACAACACAAAAAAGACTATTTGCAGCAGCATCAGCGGCAACACGGCAGCAGCAGCATCAGCAGCAACAGCAGCATCAGCGTCAGCAGCAACATAACAGCAGCAGCACTAGGAAACCATCCTAGCAAGAGAGCATGCGCAGCACGTCAGCAGCACAACATCTGCTGCTGCTGGGGTGTCTATTTGCTTCTGCATACAAGACATACTGGGGCTGACGACTTGTGCTGCAGCAGCAGCAGAAGAGAGCTGCTTCCCCTGCAGCAGATAGTCGTGGTAGCCTGGGGTCCTGCTGCTGCCCCCTAATATCTGCAACAGCAACTCCACCGCTCGCAACGTGCTGCTGCTGCTTTCTTGATTGCTGAGAGTAGCAGCAGACTCCGATACACTGAGAGCGAAGGCTTGCCGCTGCAGCAGCACGTGCTGCTGCAGCACCACCAGCAGCCGCATGCCTATACCTGCTGCTATGCGTCGCTCTAGCACCTGCACTGCAGCAGCAGGAAGCACCTCCTGCTGCAGCGCAGCGCGCCGTCTGCTGAGTGGCTGCTGCTCGTCTGCTGCTGCAGATACACCCGAAGAGTCCCACCAATGCTGCAGCAGCTTAAGAGCCTTTCTTATGGGTGCGCACGTTGGGGTCTTTGTGCATCCCTCCTGCCCCTCCACCTGCTGCTGTTGCTGTTGCTGCTGCTGCTGCTTCTGCAGCTGACGCTGCGCCTTCCACGCTCTGCAGCACGGAGCCTCGAGCTTTGCTGCTGCTGTTGCGCGCAGCTCCGCATGCAGCAACCGAAACTTCGCTATTTGCTGCAGCAACACTTCTCCCTGCTGCGGCGTCATGACAGCAGCAGCCAGCAGCGCCAGCCTCCTCTCAACTACATCAAGGTCTGCCTTCCCACTAGGTGCAGCAGCCGCAGCAGCAACAGTTGCTGCGTCAGCAGCAGCGCCGGCATTGCCTTGGCTGTTGCTGCTGCTGCTGTTGCTGTTGCTGTTGCTGCTGCTGCCTGCAGCAGCCACAGCACGTGCGTCGAGGGCTAGGTAGGAGAAGGGGTGGTCGGAGAAGAACTTATACAGCAGCATTTGAGAGATGCGCAGCAACTGCAGCGCGGAGGCGCCCTGATCTAGCAGCAGCTGCTGCAGCTCTTCTATGGCCGCTGCAGGCAGCACGAAGAGGCTGCTTGCAGGGCAGCACAGCAGCAGCTGCAGCAACGCGTCGTGTACAGCTGAGGGGCGCAGCAGCACCGCTGCATCCAGCTGCAGCAGCCTGAGCGCCTCAGGCTCCAGCAGCAGCTGCACTGCAGCAGCAGATGCTGCAGCAGAAGCCAGCACAACCACAGGAACGCCATACTCAGACCGCAGCAGCGACAGCAGCAGCAGCAGCTGAGAGAGCACACGAGGAGAGAAGGCCTCCAACTCCTCCAGCACAACGACCAAGACACTGCTGCTGCTGCTGCTGCTGCTGCTGCTGTTGCTGCTGCTGGGCTTTTCCGCAGGAGCATGGCTGCTGTCGTCGCCACTCTCTGCAGAAGAGCTCTCGCTGCTGCTGCTGCTGCTGCTGCTGCTTCCTGGTGCTGCTGCCCGCTGTGACCGCGTGCGCACCGCGAGGCCCTCTCCCTTGCTTCTCCATCTGCAGCAGAAGCCTCTGCTGTGCTGCTGCAGCAGCTTACGCCAGAGCTGCGCTAATCTGCTACTTTGGTCTGGGCCCCAGTAACCCCCTTCCTCCTCGTCTGCTGCTGCAGCAAGTGTGGGGCCCCCAATGCCGCCGTTGCTGCTGCTGCTGTCGTCTCCTGCTGCTCCCTCAAGACACCGCAGCAGTAGCTGCTGCTGCTGCTGCGCGCATAAATTCTCGAACTCTCCCCAAGCTGCAGAGGCAGCAGCTTCAGCTGCAACCTCTTCCGGGGCTCCTGCTGCATCCAATCCCGCTTCCTCCTCTTGTCTGGTGCCATTGCTGCTGCTGCTGCTGCTGCTGCTGCGGCCAATGCAAGTGCTGCAGCAGCTGCTCGCCTTGAGCTGCGTGTACACCGCACGCAGCGCTGCCTGGGCGTTGGTGCAGCAACTTGCTCTTAAAACAACTTGTCGTAAGAAGAGTTCGTCCTCGCGGTTGTCGTTGTTGCTGCTGCTGCTGCGGCTACTGCGGCTGCTGCGCCTGCCACCGCAGCAGCACTTGGATTGCTGCTGCAGCTGCAGCTGCAGCATCCGCACTGCCAATCGGTGGTCTTCAACATCTGCGCCTGCATGCATAATGACGACGGGAAGAAACTCAGAAAGGCCACTGCCTCCCCTTCTAATGCTGCTGCTGCTGCGGCTGTTGCTGTTGCTGCTGCTGCTGCTGGCTGCTGAGGCCTGCAGCAGCTCGAACGCCCCAACAGCTGCGTGGGTTCGCACGACTCTGCAGATGCTGCGCAGCTGCTCTTGCATTGCAGCAGAGACTGCTGCTGCTGCTGCCAGCAGCAGCGTCTCCTGCTGCTCCTCTGCTCGCCTGCAGCGCAGCAAAACAGACGGGACCTCAGCAGCAGAAGCAGCAGCGCCATCGTAGGGATATCTCCCAAACACAGACGGAACTACCACCGGTGACGGTGCTGGCTTGCTGCTGCTGCTGCTGCTGCTGCTGCTGTTAGGCGCTGCAGCATCTTCATCGTCGGTGTATTCGTCCAGAGCCTCCTCTAGCAGCTCGCTAATGAGCCGCTGCTGCTGCTGCTGCTGCTGCTGCTTCTGCTGTCTACGGCGAGCTTCTCCAGGGGCCCCCTGCAGGGCTCCTGCTGCTGCTACTAGAGGTGAAGGAGCGGCCTTTGGAGTGAAGACGCTGAAGCAGCAGGTTTGTATCTCTTCCGTTGCCTTGCGGGGGCCACCCCCAAACATAGCCCACGGGATAACCGGCATTTTAGCTGCTGCTGCTGCTACTGCTGCTGCTACTGCTGCTGCTGCTGCTCGCGCAGCTAATTCTAGTGCTGCTGGTGGTGGTGCTTCTGGACGAAGTAATGCGAAGTAGGCGACAGCGAGGCTCTTGCTGCCCTTGCTGCTCTTGCTGCTGCTGCTGCTGCTGCTGTAGCTGCTGAATGAATGTGTATGATGCGTCCAGCAGCAGCAACCCGGGGCCCCCCTGTGGGGTGTGGAGTTGGGGGGCTGAGGGTTTTCGCGTTGCTGCTGCCAGCTGATACGAGCAGCAACGCGAGGAGCAGGAAGGTTTAAACAGGGAATGAAGTTGCTGCTGCTGCTGCTGCTGTTGCTGCTGCTGCTGCTGCAGACGCTATACAGGGTTGCGGTGTTGCTGGGGTGGGGTTGCGGCTGCGGCTTGCTGCTGCTGCTTTGCCTTCATCTTCTTGCTATTAGGTTTGAATATAATTGGCACTTAGAAATTTTAATATATGTTAATTGCTATTTTAGTAATAAGAAGGACGAAAACGCAGACAAATACACACACCAGGGGCCCCACCAGCCCCGATACGCCGCACAGCAGCAAACCCTAAACCCTCAACCCTAAACCCTAATCACTAAACCGTATATAAAAACTAATAATAAGCAATAAACAATACGCAACAAACAATAAACAAGCAATACTAGACATTTTATTGCCTTTCTTCAGTGAAGTATTTGCTGCTGCTGCTGCTGCTGCTGCTGCGGCGCCGTCTTCAGCCCGCTGCAGCAGCAGCTAAACAACCACGCAGCAGCAGCAACCTTCCCTTTGCTGTTAAGTGCTGCAGCAGAGAAACACCTGCTGGGAGTAGCAGCGGCAACAGCAGCATTCACAGCAGCAAGAGCAGCAGCGGCAGCCGCAGCGGCTGTAGTAGTGCTGCAAGCAGCTGCAGCACGAGGAGCCTCAAGAGCAGCAGCAGCAGCATCATAGGCAGCAGCAGCAACACTAGTAAAGGCAGCAGCAACAACAGCACCACAACCAGCAGTTGCTGCTGCAACAGGGAAGGAGCTCGCAGGGGCAGCAAGCTGACGTTGCGGCACGCAGCCGCAGCAGCAGCAGCACAATTAGTAGCAGCAGCAGCATAAGTAGCAGGAACAACAACGGAAAACGATCTCACCCAGGAGCATTAGCCTCTCCCCCTAGCGGACTCAGCAGCAAACGATGAGGCAGCAGCAGCTGCAGCAGCTGTAGCAGCAGCTGTAACAGCTGCACTGCAACTTTCACAGCACTAGCTGCAGCAGCACGGGCTGCATTAACAGCAGCAGCTGCGGCAGGGGCAGCAACAAGTACGGTAGAAGCAGTATCCGGAACATCCACAACAGGAAGCTCCAGCAGCAGCTACTGCAGCAGCAACAACTGCAGCAGCAGCAACTGCAGCAGCAGCAGCAAACAGTTGCTAGTGATGAATACCCCTGAAGACATCGACGCGTTTTTCAACGCCCTTGTTGGTGAGGCTGCTTCTGATGAGGAGGCAGCAGGGAAGAAGGGCCAGCAGCAGGAGCAGGAGCAGGAGCAGCAGCAGCAGCAGCAAACGGGAAATGCAACGGTCCTCCCAATAGCCCATGCAGCACCTGCTGCAGCAGCAGGGGCAGCACCTGCTGCTGCTGATCCTGCTGCTGCTGCAGGGGGTGAGACTGTGTCGCCGAAGCTGCCTGCAGCAGCAGACCAAGCAGCTGCAGCTCCAGGATCTGCAGCAGCAGTAGCAGCACCAGCACCAGCAGCAGCGGCAGCACCAGCAGCAGCACAACTTTCTTCCGTGCCTAGTCCCTCTGCATCGAAGAGCTTTCAAGCCCCTCTGCTGCAGCAGCAGCCTCCTGCACAGCCGCTCCCCGCTGCAGCGGCCAGCAGCATCCCTATATCGCAGCCGCAGCAGCAGCAACAGCAGCAACAGCAGCAGCTGCCGATTTGCTGGCAAGGGCGAGAGCCCCCTGAACTGCAGTGCGAGCCTCCATACGCGTACGTGCCTCCATTATATGCTGGGCCAGCAGCGCAGCAGCAGCAGGGAGCAGCAGCGGCACAGCAGCAGCAGCAGCAGCAGCAGGCAGCAGCAGCGCAGCAGCAAGCGGAGACAGCGAATTTGTGCGTCTCAGTGGCTGCTGTGGGGCGGCTAATTGAAAGCAAACTGCGAGAAAATGAGCACATGCTCTTTGCTGTCCACGAAAACTTAAAGGTAAGCCCCAGCCCCAAAAGATGCATGCATGCATGCGTGCATGCATGCGTTCTTGCTGTTTCTATTTATGCTATTCTTGCTGCTGTTGATGCCGCTGCAGCTGTGGGGATGCTGCAGCTGTTGGTGCTGCAGCTGTTGCTTCTGCAACTGTTTCTGCTGCATTTGTTGCTGCTGCAGCAGCAACGGCTGCTGCAGCTGAGGCTGTGGTCTCTTCTTTGCTGCCTTTTGCTGCAGGTGGGCCGCTCCGGGGATGCCCTCTGCTACTTTGAACGCCTGCAGCAAAACCTCCTCTTCCTTGCCATGCTGGCAGATCAGCACGTCAGTCTGCTGCTGCTGCTGCTGCTACTGCTGCTGCTGCTGCAGCTGCATGCGGTGTGTTTGTCCCAGCCGCAGTTTGGGGCTCGTCTGGCCGATGCATGCGTGCATGCATCTTCTCTCTGTTGCATGCATGCATGCATGCACCTTGCCTTCTGCATGCATGCATAAATGCATGCATACATGCATGCGTTTGCGGTGTATGTGCAGCGGGGAGGTTTAAGTGAAGGATCTACAGAAGAGCAGCAGCAGGCTTTTGCTGCTAATCGAGATTTCTGGAGCCCGGAAGAACTGCAGCGCCTCCACCACGCGCTGCGGACGCCGGGGCAAGGTGAGCAGCAGCAGCAGCAGCAACAGCAGCAGCAGCAGCAGCAGCTGGGATGCGTGCTTGAGAGCGTCAAGGCCATGCCGCCGATGCTTCTGCTGCTGCTGCCCCGGCGTTTTTGCAGCTTTAGATTGGTATCTCTTGCTGCAGCAGCAGATGCGTGAAACTGCATTTGATGTGGTAGCTGTTGCTGCTGCTGCTGCTGCTGTTATTGCAGATCTGCAGCAACTTGCTGCTGCCGTCGGCAGCAAGAACTCTGCGCAAATCCTCTCCTACTTATCGCATGCAGCAGACCGCCACTTGATGCACAGAGCAGCAGCCGGGCCGGCGGGCACTGCTGCTGCTGCTGCTGCTGCTGCTGCTGGCTTAACGACGACTGCTGCTGGCCATTCTGCTGCAGCAGCTTCTGCTGCACCTGTTTCTCTCCCCGCAGGTGGTGTGTATTAACTCCTTTGTCCCCAATCACCCCGTCAATGCAGCTCTGGCATGGGTAGCTGGTGCTGCTGCCGGGCTTGTCTTGTTTTTGTTTTGTTTTGTTTTGGGGTTAAGAAAAAGAATGGCGTAAAGGAGATGGGCGATCAGCGACAGATAGTTTGGCTTCCTGCTGCTGCTGCTGCTGCTGCTGCTGTTGCTGCAGGGTCAGGAGCAGCAAATGCTGCAGCACGGACGACTCATTCAACACAGGATATTCAGAAGCAAGAGGATAAGCCGGAGCAACAGCAGCAGCAGCAACAGATGCAACAGCAGCTGCAGCAACAACCGCAAACGCAACAGCAGCAAACCCAGCAGCAAGTGGCGCAGCAGCAGCAGCAACAGCAGCAAAAACAGCACATCCAGCAGCAGCAGATGCAAATGCCACAGCAACAGCAACAAATGCAACAGCAGCAACACATGCAGCAGCAGCAGTTGCAGCAGCAGCAGCAGCAAGTGCCTCAGGTGATGCACCAGCCAGGTCCGCAGCAGTTCCAGCTACCGCAGCAGCAGCAGCAGCAACAGCAGCAGCAGCAGCGCAGCAGCAGCCGGGCACAGGGCCTGCAGGAGCTCAAAGCCTCCAAGTTATGCAGCCGAACGCGCTGATAGGGGCACCTTTGCTGCTGCAGCAGCCTTCACTAACAGCGCAGCCTCTACAGCAGCAGCAGCAGGCAGCAGCAGCAGCAGCAGCGGCAGCGGCAGCAGCAGCTCCGGGCGAGTCAATGCTGCAGAACGCGGGCCTCCCTCGTCAGCCAGCTCTGCCACAACAGCAGCTGTTGCAGCAGCAGCTGCTGCAGCAGCAACTGCTGCAGCAACTCCCAGCGCAGACACCGCAACTGCTGCAGCAAACGCCGACGCAGCACGTGCAGCTGCAAGAGTCGCATAGTTATAGTGAGCCTGTGTCTCCTCGCCATTCTGTTGCTTTCATTTGTTGCTGCAGCTCCGATTTGCTGCTGATTGTCTCTTGTGTCTCGTTGTGAGGCTATCGCTTTATGTTTGAAGCTGCAGCAGCTGCTGCTTGTTAAGAGTTGCTGCTGCTGCTGCTGCGGCCTCAGCAAACGCTGCTGCAGCAATGTTTGCTCCAGGAGCAGCTGCTGCTTGTTCAGAGCTGCTGCTGCTACAGCGTTTGCTACAGCGTTTGCTGCTGCAAGCGCTGCTGCAGCGGCGTCTCGTCTTGCCTTGGTGTATCCGACAACCCCCAGCCCCTGGTTTAGGGCTTATGGTTTAGTTTTTAGGGTTTAGTGTTTAGGGTTTAGGGTTTAGGTGTTATTGCTGAGGTGTATGGTGAGCTCCTTCCGCTGGAGTGGGGCGGCGTAGCAGCAGCAGCAGCAGCTGCTGCTGCTGCTGCATCAGCAACAGTGTTGAGGTTGTGAGGTATCTGAGAGGCGGAGACAGCAGCAAGCATTCTTCTGCTGCTGCATCTATGCGAGTTTGTTCTGTGTCTCTGTCTGTCTGTGGCGGTGGTGCTGCATTTGTCTGTCTCCTCTCATCGTCAGTGTGTAGGCGTTTATATATATATATATATATATGTAGCTATATATATATATATAGCTACATATATATATATATTTGTTTATTTATTGGTTTCTTTATATTCATTTCTATGCACCTATATGTGTATATATTTCTATATAAATATATGTGCATATATATATATATATATTATATATATATGCATATATATATGCTCTCCGCCTCTGTCTCCCTTTATGTCTCTTTCGTGGCTGTCTCCCCTCTGATTTATTTCTGTCTTATTTCTGTCTCCTTTTGTTTCTTTTCTGTGTCTTTCTGTCTCCTTTTTGTTTTCTGTCTCTGCTTTTTTGTTGTCTCCTCCCGCAAGACAAAGACAAAGACAAAGAAAGAGAGACAGATAAAAAGAAAGAGAGAGAGACGCAGAAAAAGAGAAAGAGACAAAGAGACAGACAAACAGAGACAAAGAGACAGAAAGAGGGGGAGACGGAGACAGAGACAGCGAGAGAAAGAAATAGAGAGACAAACGTAGAGAAACAGAGACAGAAACAGAGACAGAAACAGAGACAGAGACAGAGACAGAGACAGAGACAGAGACAAGACAGAGACAGAGACAGAGACAGAGACAGCAAAAAGGAGACAGACACACAGAGAAAGGAAGACAAAGAGAGAGAGAGACAGAGAGAAAGAGACAGAAAAGGAGAGAGAGAGAGGGAGAGAGAGAGAGAGAGAGAGAGAGAGAGAGAGAGACAGAGAGAGACAGAGAGAGAGACAGAGAGAGAGACAGAGAGAAGGAGAGAGACAGAGACAGAGAGACAGAGAGAGACAGAGAGAAAGAGAGAGACAGAGACAGAGAGACAGAGAGAGAGAGAGAGAGAGAGAGAGAGAGAGAGAGAGAGAGAGAGAGAGACAGAGAGAGAGAGAGAGAGAGAGAGAGAGAGAGAGAGAGAGAGAGAGAGACAGAGAGAGAGAGAGAGAGAGAGTAGAGAGAGAGAGAGAGAGAGAGAGAGAGAGAGAGAGAGAGAGAGAGAGAGAGAGAGAGAGAGAGAGACAGAGAGAGAGAGAGAGACAGAGCCACACAGAGAGAAAGACAGAGACAGAAAAAGAGAGACAAAAGGAGACAGAGAGAAAGACAGAGACAGAAAAAGAGAGACACAAAAGGAGACAGCAAGAGAGACAAAAGGAGACAACTGCATTTATTTTTTTATTAAAGCTTCATTGGCCTCTGAGCCCGAGTTGCTGGCGATGCGAAAATTTCGCAAACTTTCGAAAGAAAACGGCTGTGGGGTTTGGGGTCAGGCAGCGTGTGCTGCTGTGGCACAGGACTTTGCTGCTGCTGCTGCTGCTGCTGCTGCTGCTGCTGTTGCTGTTGCTGCTGCTGTTGCTGCTGTTGGGGTGGCTGTGGAGCTTCGCGCTGAGCTGTGGATTTCGTGGTTTGCTGGGAATGAGGAACGGGGGCTGCTGCTGCAGCGTCAGCAGCAGCACCAGCAGCAGGTTGTTGTTTAGGGCCCTGCAGCTGAGACGAGGGCAGCGGCCCTCTGCTGCTGCTGTCTGCGCCTTTAGCCTTCTGTGGAAGCCCTTTAGATGGGGTGTCTTTGTGAGTTGGGGGTTTGCTGCTGCTGCTGCTGCTGCTGCTGTTGCTGCTGTTGCTGGGCCCCACATTTGTCCCTGACTCCTCAGAGAGCTTCAGCCTAAACGGAGACGCAATGCAAACAGGTATCAGCAAAAGGAGGCAGCAGCAGCAAAAGGAGACAGAAGGAGACAACAGCAGCAAAAGGAGAGCGAAGGAGACAGCAGCAGCAAAAGGAGAGAGAAGGAGACAGCAGCAGCAAAAGGAGAGAGGAGACAGAAGAAAACGCAAACCAACAGCAGCAGCAGCAAACAATGCGACAGACACTGCAGCACCCGTACTACCATTGCTGCTGTTGCTTCTGCTGCTGCTGCTACTTCTGCTGCTGCTGCTGCTGCTGCTGAGTTTCATCCCTTGTTAAAGGTATTGTCTTAAAGGGTGATGGAGTGTACAGAGGCAGAAGAAAAGAAATTGCGGAGACAAAAATACAACAGATAAAGAGAGAAGACAGAGAGAGGCAAAAAGAGACAGACAAAAGGAGACAGAAGGAGACAAAGAGAAAGAGAGGTAAAGAAAGAGAGAGAAAAAGAATAAAACATAAACAAAGAGAGACAGACAAAAGGAGACAGAAGGAGACAAAAGGAGACAAAAGGAAAAGAGAGAGAAGCCGTTGCTGCAGACATAGGTCTAAGCATCTGTTGGGGTGTACAGTGCATGCAAAACCTCAAAAATATGAAGACGCAGACAGAGACTGCTAGCACCAGAGGTAGCAGCAAAAGGGGCCAGCAACATCAGCAACAGCAACAGTTCCAGCAGCAACAGCAACAGCAGCAGCAGCAGCAGCATTTGCTGCTGCTGCTGCTGAAAGCGCGTCTCTGGGGTTTCGCTGCTGCACGCCAAAAGGATTTGGTGCTGCAGCACTTCCTATATGTTCCTCACATATGGGGTGTACATACAGCTCGATATTTGCATGCAGATGCATGCAAATGCATGCATATAAGTGCATAGAAATGCATGCAAGTGTATGCATGGATTTATTTGAGTTAAATTTCCTTACCAAGCACTAGCTAAGACTTGATGAGCATTAAGCCGGCCTTCAGGGTTAAGCAGCAAAAGGCCCTGAAGAAGCGTCTTAACTTCTTCACTTAGCGACTGAGACACTACATATTCTCCAGCAGATATATTTGCATATAATTCCCTGCAAATATATACACCACAAACGCCAACAGTACACATACACACACACTCAAAAAACAACACGTACCCGTGTAGCAGCAGCTCAGGCTGCAGCAGCAGAGACTGCAGCAGCAGAGGCTGCAGCAGCAAAGGTAGCAGCAGCAGAGGCTGCAGCAGCAAAGGTAGCAGCAGCAGATGCAGCAGCAACAGAGAGAGAGAGGAGATATAGATGCGTAAATTGGTGTGAGTACTGACTGCAACATATATATATATATATATATATATACATATATATATATATATATGTAACAATATGTATAACAATATATATAACAATATATATGCATAACAATATATATACCTAGCT